GAAAGAGTGCAGGGATGTTTGGGGAGGGTAGCAGTGGGGGATGTCTCTGCAAAGACATGTAACTCCATTTTAACCATTTAGTTGCCTCCTGACTTTAAGGTCAGCATCCCAACAGCCTGGCCGGAGTCTACCGCCTTACATTAGGCACCTCTGCCCCCCAGGCTGCTGTAAGATGTGCTGGGCTGCAGCAATCCGTGGCGGGCACCGTACCCACCTGCCGGCCCACCGCGTTGTTATGCAGATTCATGGCCTTGAGTGCTTGTGTCCCCAGCTTGCTGGATTTTAAGGGACTGTCAGCAAAAGCGGCGCCAAGCTGGAGGCCGTAGCGCAGGTTGTCCCCGCAGCCACCCCATCTGAAGTCCGGCCCGGGGACCTCTGAGGGGACAGAGCCACAGGAGCAGAGAGGGAGCTCTCCCGAGGTGCAGGCTTGGGCGATGGAGTGTGCGACGGCGGCGGCAGCCAGAGCGTAGACAAAGGCGGATTCCCGGGTTCCTGGGAAGAAGAGGGGGAGATGTCCTTCCTCCCTGCCCAGCCAAACACTCCTCTCAAAGATCTCACAATGCAAATGAGGTTTTTTTTTCTTGCAGCAGGGTAAAAACAAGGCCCAGCATTTTTCTTGCACTGTATTTTTAACCTGTGCCACCCATTATATTACGCTGTCAGTATGCAGCCTGTGTCCCCACCTCTTCCCCCTTTTTTCTGGAGCCTCTAGCAGCTGTTTTTGTTTGAAATAGAAGTTACTGTCATCTCCTGCAGATCTAAGTTGCATAGGATCAACACCAGTGTAATGGCAGCAAGTTTCTCCAGACTTGACACCCGTCAGCTGAACAGCAGCGCTGTACATTAAAACGTCAGCTGAACAGCAGCGCTGTACATTAAAACGCTGCCTAAAGCGCTGCCTGCCTGGAAAGCTCCGCGGGGGCAGAAAGAGGAGCACAAACACGGCGGACGAAGCATCCTTTACCTTTCAGCAGGTCAGGGCCAAAGCTGGGGGCACGTTGGACAGAGGAGCAGTTCCACCTCATGTCTGCAAAGGTCTTCTGGCAGACGCTCTTGGTCTGGCGGGCGGCCCGGACGATGCTGTGCATGACCTCCAGGTTCCTGCGGCACATCTGGAACTGGTCGGGCACCAGCCCGGCGAGCAGCCGGCAGTGGTGGCTTTTGTTCCAG